AAAAAAAAAAAAAATTTATATTCTACTAGAAAAGTTCACTTGTACCACCCTTGTTAGACAGACCACATAGGTGATCTTTCCAGTCAACCTCCCACCACCCAGGATATTTTTTGGAAGTGAAATGGGGGCCTTGGGGCTGTATTACTTGTTTTGTTTTGTTTTTAAACAGAGTCTCACTCTGTTGCCCTGGGTAGAGTGCAGCAGCATCATGGTAGTTCACAGCAACCTCAAACTCTTGGGCTTGAAAAATCCTCCTGCCTCAGCCTTCCGAGTAGCTAGGACTACAGGCACCTACCACAATACCCAGCTAGCTTTTTTTTATTTTTTAGTAGAGATAAGGTCTCACTTCTGCTCAGGCTGTTCTTGAACTCCTGACCTCAAGCAATCCACCCGCCTCAGCTTCTCAGAGTACTGGGATTAGAAGTATGAGACATTCTACCTGTTCAAGAATAAGATTTAGTGAGTAACATGCTCCAGAACACAGAACTAGGCCGGTGCAGTGCTGCATGCCTGTCATCCTAGCATTCTGGGAGGCTGAGGTGGGTGGATGGCCTGGACTTACAGGTTCAAGACCAACCTGAGGAAGAGCAAGACCCCATCTCTAAAAATAGCCAGGCATTGTGGTAAGCACCTAAAATCTCAGCTATTTGGGAGTCTGAGGCAAGAGAATCTCTTGAGCCCAAGAATTTGACGTTGCTGTGAGCTATGACACCACAGCATTCTACCAAGGGTGACAAAGTGAGACTGTCTCAAAAAAAAAAAAAAGAACACAGACTCAGTGCCAGCCACATGCACCAAGGGTAGGTTCAAACCCAGCCAGGGCCAGCTATAAACAACAATGACAACTGCAACGATAACAACAATAAAAAATAGCCATGGGCACCTATATTCCCAGCTACTTGGGAGGCTGAGGCAAGAGAATTGCTTAAGCCCAAGAGTTTGAGGTTTTGTGAGCTGTGATGCCATGGCACTCTACTGAGGGCAACATAGTGAAACTCTGTCTCAAAAAAAAAAAAAAAAAAAAAAAAACCAACAGAGACCTAGGAAGTGACAAAACTAAACTAGAATGCATTTTATCAGGGGCCTTAACCTGAGCTCTTTTCCACACCCAACAGACTGAGTCCTCTTCTGCTCAGAATAATTTTAACTTCTAAGGAAATGTATACATGCTTCTCTACTGCTTAAACTTGTATAATAACTAGTGTGTGATTTTTTTTTCTTTTTCTTTTCCATTTTTTTCTGAGACAAAGCCTCAGTCCACTTGCCTTGGCCTTCCAGGGTGTTAAAATTACAGGCATGATTGCGCAGCGCCTGTGGCTCAAAGGAGTAGGGCGCCAGCCCTATATGCCAGAGGTGGCGTGTTCAAACCCAGCCCTGGCCAAAAACTGCAAAAAAAAAAAAAAAAATTACAGGCATGAGCCACCATGCCCAGCCTATTGGGTCAGATTTTTAACAGTCATCTTTCTCATTTTTGACCCTTCAAATGATGTAATAAATAACTCAGTATTTAAAGTAACACCCCAAACCTTTCCTGATAATTTTTAGTTATAGTAAATAAAAGAAGTTTAACAGTGGAGAAAGTGGCTTAGCGCCCATAGGACAGTGGTTAGGGCACCAGCCACATACACCTGGGCTGGCAGGTTGGAACCCAGTCAGGGCCTGCTAAACAACAATGACAACTACAGCAACAAGCAAAAAATAGCCAGGGGTTGTAGTGGGCACCTGTAGACCCAGCTACTTGGGAGGCTGAGGCAAGAGAATAGCTTAAGCCCAAGAGTTTGAGGTTGCTGCAACCTGTGAAGCCACAGCACTTTACCAAGGGCAACATAGTGAGATTCTGTCTCAAAAAAAAAAAAAGTGGAAAAAGAAAACTCAAGAATCAAAAAAAGGACATGGGGCTAGGCAGAAATCTTAAACCGTCATGTCTACTTGAATGTATATCTGCACTACAGAAAGAAACCTGAAACCAGAAACCATCTGAAACAGTTTACATAGTAACACATACCCCCTACTTATAAAATATCTTCAGTAGCTCCCCTAGTGCCTCACTGAAGGACCTACAGGATAAAGTCCAAAGTACCTAAACAAAGAATGTTCAAGGCAATGGTTTATCTGTATGGCCTTCTGTTCACCTCCCTCACAAAGACTTTGTATTCTTACTCAGACACGGTACATGGCATGGCCATGCCACATCCACAGCCAGCCTTGAAACCCCTCCCTCTGCTAATTCAAATCCACTTCTTAACAAATGCAACTTTGGACACACACTATTCAATCTCTCCTTTTTTTTTTGAGACAGAGTCTCATTTTTTTGCCCTCAGTAGAGTGCCGTGGTATCCGCATAGCTCACAAAAACCTCAAATTCTTGGGCTCAAGCAATCCTCTTGCCTCAGCATCCCAATTAGCTGGGAGCCATCATAACGACTGGCTATTCTTTTTAGAGGCAAAGTCTCGCTTTTTCTCAGGCTGGTCTCAAACTCCTGAGCTCAAGGAATCCACCTCCCTCAGCCTCCCAGAGTGCTAGAATTACACATGTGAGCCACTGTACCTGGCCTTATTTAAGCTCTTTAAACACTAAATTCTTTACTGGTAAACTGAAGTTCACATCTATCTCATGGGAATATTGTAGACTAATATGAGATGATTGTAAAACATGTTGAGTTCTGCCTAGCATATAGTATGTACTCAAAAAGTGACAGTTTTGCCTCTCAAAGCAAACTGCTTTCCAAGTTCAACAAGTTTCACATGAAGCTTTCTTATCATCTTGACACTTGCCACTCATAACCCTCCTTTGGCAGTTTTTATGTGCCATCTCTTACAAAGTTGCCTCTTTATTCTTCTTCTGATAGTCTCTGGATTCAAAACCCCTGGTGGGATTCCTGGCTTTGCGATTTGTCAGCTATAGCTGTATGTCTATGGGCAAAAAGTTTATCTGAGCCTTTGTTTCCACGTCTGCAAAGGTGAGGAAATAATGGCACCTGCTTCCACACAGCTGTTGTTGAGAGTTAAATGAAACAACGAAAGTAAAGCATTCCGCACTTTGTCTCCCTCAGAGTAAGAAGTCTAGCTATTATTAACTTCAGATAAGTCTACACAGTCTCCCAAACGTGGTGGACAATTGCACTACTGCTCCTAGTACACAAATGCTTAATAAATGTCTGATAAATGCTACTAAACAGGGAAACTGAAGAGTGGTTAAGAGATCTTAGTTCTATACCATCAGTTAGCTGCACAACTTTGGACATACCCTTGTCCCTCTCTTCCTCATGTGTAAAATGACGTTGGACCACATATCTCTAAGGGCCTTTCTGAATGGTATATTATCTGATTCCTGAGAGGAGTGGAAAATGGATTATGCATATAAGCTTATTTCTAATCAACCTCCCCGCACAGACACACCTTCCATAGAAATCCTACAACTGTATATTCTGCCTAAATTTGGTGTCTGAAAACAGGCAGGTCACTCTCTGGACCTCAGTTTCCTCGCTTGTATAATGAGGATGGAAAACACAGTATTACAGCGTGAAGCATAAACAAAAGCATATGTAGCAGATCTTCATAAACCAGAAAGCCTACGCGTGATGACGATACCACATTAGTAACACCAATCTCTTCGGTCAGGGCCCCCATACTGCTGCAGGCGGAGCTGAGCATTAGATGTACGTTCCAATTCCATCGTGGCAGTCATTGATTACGTGAGCTCTGATCTCAACTTGCCTAAAGAAGACCAGGCTCATTCCATACGTTATCCTACTCAAACACTGCACTGAAATCTGGCAAAACAGAAATGATTATCCCCCAAAGAATGGGAAGCGGCCCGTGCTCTTTCTAGAAACAGAAGGAAAACCTCTCCTCTTCCCGACTCGGTCCCCGCGAGGCTCCGCCCCAGCCGAGCCAGTATTATTAGCATATATTTGCGTGTATTTGCATACTGCCTGTACGTACGACCGGCACCAGGGCCCCAAGGTGACGAGCAAGCGGACCACGGGGCCAAAGGTCAGTGTTCATGGGGCCTGTGTGGTCCTACCTGACTTCGCTCTCGATGTTCCCGCTGTCGAGACTTAGCCGCCTTCCGAAAAGCCGCAGCCATGTCGGTTCACTCCTGGAAGAGTTCAAATGGACAACGCCGGTTCTGCACTGCCTTTTGCCACCGCGTCCTCCGATCCTGCGGAAACAGGCCACGCTTAGGACCGCCCACTTTCTCTACGCAGCCTATCCGGAACCTGTTTTTCCGGAAATACGCGCTCTGACAAAGGCGGCCACGGCAGGCTGTTTCTGGGAAGAGTAGTTTTCCAGTTTCTCGTGACCCTACCAGGGACGGTTTTTATTTGCCAGAGACTGTCCACGCTACTGAATCCGGCCTGCATTGGCACCTGAGAACACGTGGCTGGCACTGCCCCTTCCTCCCTAGCTGGGATAGGTGTTGCGCATGTGCGCATGCATTTCTTAGAGCTCGGCACGGTATTTAGGTGCAAAGCAAAAAGCCTGAGAACTGCCGGGCGCGGTGGCTCACGCCTGTAATCCCAGCACTGTGGGAGGCTGAGGCGGGAGGATTGCTTGAGCTCAGGAGTTCGAGGCTTGTCTGAGCGAGAGTGAGACCCCGACTCATGAAAAAAATGGAAAAACCCAGCCGGGCGCCGCGGCGAGCGCCTGTAATCCCAGCGGCTTTGGAGGCTGAGGCAGCGGGATGCCCACAGCCGGAGTCTGAGGTTGCAGTGAGCTACGACGCCATTGCACTCTGCTCAGGGCATAGGGTAGAACTCTGTCTCGACAAAAAAAAACAAGGCAACTGTGCGCATATGCTCATCCCAACCCCCAAATCCCCTTTTAAAAAAATTTTTTTAAAAGCCTGTAAATTTCGCAGTGTTGGGGCTCAACACACCATTCCAAAATATGACTGTAGGGGACTAGACTGTATCCCCCAAAAGATACTTCTCTGATATATTTTCAGATATTCTGAGAAACTGCAAACATGGGAGTAGCTCTGAAAAGTTGTCCTTTTGTAAAATAAATTTACATCTATAAAGGAAATCTCTGTTATTAATAAAATATATGTATCAGGAAAAGGGCTGACAACTTTTACTACGTGAGACACTTTATCTGCATAACAGGAGCTTTATTCACCGTACATTTCCTCTCCTCAACTTCCCATAACAGGTTGCCACTGTCACTCAGAAGCTCCACAACACTATTATTTTCTGTAGCTTAGAATGCCATATAAACTTCAATTATCTGACCCTTTTACTTCTTGCTTTCCTACAACATACAGGAAGGAGCATTCTGTAGAGAGACAAAAGACCTTTAACCCAAATCTGGCTCTTGCCACTTACAGGCTGTGTGACTTCTGGCAGGTTTATTGACTTTAATGGGCATAATTTTTCTCACCCATAAAATGAGGATAATAATAACATACACTTCTTACCCCACAGCCACAGGGCTGTCAAGGGCTCACAGCTGAGTTGAGGAGGATCATATCTGTAAGCAGCATAGAAGGGGATTACCTAATGGCAGTAGTTAAGTTCTGATTTCCTCACACCCTCAAGGGAATGGTTAGCTGACAATATGAGTATCAGAGGTGGTACAATGAAATAAGACCATGCATGATCCATATAGGTAAGTTCTGATCCTAACTCTTGGCTACCAGCTAAGGCAAAGTTAGACTCACTGAGCCTCCATCTCCCCATCTGTAAAATGGAGGTAATAACAACACTACATCCAGAGAACTGTTCTGAGGATTAAATGAAATAATGTTTTTTTGGTTTGGGTGCTTCATTTTGTGTTTCTTATTTTGAGACAGAGTCTCACTATGTCTACCTCGGGTAGAGTGCTGTGGCATCCCAGCTCACAGCATCCTCAAACTCTTGGGCCCAAGAGAGTCTCCTACACAGCCTCACAAGTAGCTGGAACTACAGGCACCTGCCACAGCACCAGGCTATTCTCTTGTAGTTGTCATTACTGTTTGGCAGGCCCAGGTCAGGTTTGAACTTGCCAGCCCTGGTGTATGTGGCTGGTGCCCTAACCACTGAGCTACAGGCCCTGAGCCATGTTGGGTTTTTTTTTGTTTTTTTTTTTTTGAGACAGAGTCTCACTTTGTCACCCTTGGTAGAGTGCCGTGGTGTCACAGCTACAACAACCTTGAAACTCTTGGGTTTAAATGATTCTCTTGCCTCAGCCTCCCAGGTAGCTGGGACTACAGTTGCCTGCCACAACACCAAGCTAGTTTTAGAGACAGGGTCTTGCTCTGGCTCAGGCTGGTCTCGAACCTGTGAGCTCAGGCAATCCACCCACTTCAGCCTCCCAGAGTGGTAGGATTATAGGTGTGAACCACCAAGCCTTGTCTGAAATAATATTTAAATTGCTTAATATTGACTGAGGCAGAACTGCTTGAGCCCAGGAGTTGGGTTTCTGTGAATTAGGCTGACAGCATGGCACTCTAGCCTCAGCAACAGAGTGAGCCTAGAGCAAAGAGCTTAATGCTGTGTTCACCCCTTAGGCAGTGGATCTATTATTGTTATTTTTACTAAACCATCCTCTTAGTCTAGAGCAGTGGTTCTCAACCTTCCTAATGCCTCCTAATGCCATGACCCTTTAATACAGTTCCTCATGTTGTGGTGAACCATAAACATGGTTTATAAAATTATTTTCATTGCTTCTTCATAACGGTAATTTTGCTAGTGTTATGAATCAGTATGTAAATATCTGATGTGCAGGATATATTTTCATTGTTACAAAGGGTTCGAGACCCACAGGCTGAAAACCTCTGGTCTAGAGAGAGGATAGTAAACCATCCCAGAGGTACTGGGTTTATTTTCCACCATGTGAAATGGGTTTTGTAATTGTACCCATTTCTCAAGACAGGGGTCAGCCCCTCCGGCTGAAGAGCTCTGGATAAATTCTCTCTTCAGTCACGAGAGGTGCCCTTCCAGTTGACTAGTGAGCAAGAAAGAGCTGAAAGTATGAGTTAGAGCCTTAACAACATGCATTAACAAAATTCCATCTCATTTGTCACTTACCATTGAAAGACAAGACCCCTTATGACCTGGCCCATGCTAACCTTACCAGCCTCATTCCGATTAAAAAACTTAGTCATCGGCTCGGCGCCTATAGCTCAACCGGCTAAGGCGCCAGCCATGTACACCTAAGCTGTCGGGTTCGAATCCCCAGCCCGGACCCGCCAAACAACAATGATGGCTGCAACCAAAAAATAGCCGGGCGTTGTGGCGGGCGCCTGTGGTCCCAG